ATAATATAATATAATATAATATAATATAACGCCAGGAACATCAGGCCAATCTTTCTTTTTTTTTTTTACAATTTTATTTTCAAAGATTATCATACAGGTTAAGACAACAGTTCAATTTTTCATTATACATCAGGCCAATCTGCTGCTGTCCAGAATCAGGTGGTTTGTCTTCATCTGGCATCTCAGCTGAGATTGTCCACTATGGGTGATCCTATCAGTAGCTGTGAAGTACCAGCTCTCAGCATCACTGATGCACACAAGCCCTCACAGCTCAAGCTGCAAACCGTGTGAGGGACCCTAACCTACCCTAACCCAGCTGTTTAAAACCAACCGCATATCAACCAACCACTCTAAACATCCTAACAACCATGAAGCAATGCATGATAGACCACTCAGAAAAGTCCAACAACTGCTCAGAAACACGCTAACAATTGTTTAGAAAACCTTAACAATGCACAGGAAAACCACCCAAAACATCCTGACAACCATGTAGCAACGCAATAAAATCTGCTTTAAACAACCTAGGAACCGCATACTGTATCAACTCACTGATAATCAGCAGAAACATCCTAACAACCACACAACACTGGGCTAAAAATGTAATCTAAAAAAACTAAAACTTACTCTAAATATTAAAACTTATTCTACAAACTATAAACTTACTCTATAACTATGTACAATATATACAGTATTTACAAATGTAGGTCCCACTGTGTGATGCTCCATGAGACACTGTGATGACTCGGTGTTGCTCAGGCAAAGGTTCTTCACTGACGTTCACGTGGATTTGTGGAGCGAAGCTTCTGCTGCTTGTGAAGCTCTCAGTAATGAAGACGCGTCCGTCTGGCTGCTCTGGCTCCAGCAGTGAAGGGCAGCTGAGCGTCTCACACAGGCACTGCTTGATCTTCAGCCCCAGCTCAAGGCTGTACCACAGTTTGTCTTCATCATGGGCTCCACAGAGCGGTAAATGTCCTGGTAGCCCTGCACACAGCAGCCGTGGATGGAGACGGGATCTTCCTGCTGACACAGAGGCTCCAGACACTCGTCCACTGAAAAGACTGAGGCTGCTGGACGGATGTCAGGAAAGACCGCAGTTCTTCAGGTAGCGCTCTTCAAGTCTGTGAGCTTTGGCAGAGATGCAGCTGTAGGTGTGATCTAACCTGATTACAGCTGCCAGCTGTGAAAGCTCACAGACCTCTTGAATGGAAGAGATGCCCTCCACCAAGAATCCCCTCAGGTGTGTGGGAAGAGTCCTGCTTCTTCTGGGGCGACGCTGCTCCATGAAGATGCCTGGAGAAACACTTTACAGATTTGACAAATTGATAAAACTCACCAAACTGTAAAGTTGAAAAGCTTGCAGCATGCGTGATCAGCTTCAAGGCTTCAGGGACTTTTTATTTTTATTTTAAATATCAATACAAGCAGCTGTTACAGACCTAGAATGTTGAAGTTAATTTAAATGTAAACAACACTTGACATTCAGCAGTAAGTCAATTAGAGCAGCTTGAGCTCTATGATGCATCTATTGCCATTATCATTTTCAATTACTGTCATATATATATTCCTAATCTGTGTGTGTGTGTAGTGGTGTCTGTTAAAGGCCAGAATCATTATTAGGAACTTTTCTGTGTTAGTGGCTCATGAATGAATCACTGCTTATGAACGAATCTTTTAAGTGAGCAAAACATTCTTGTTCACGTCCTAGCACTGACTCGTATCATTTGTTCAAGTGTTTTCTTGTTGAAGTAAATGACTGCTTTGGGTTTTTTTTTTTTTTCACCCTCCAAAGACATCCAAAGCATTTCATTGGTTGGACCTACTGTATGAATGTGATTGAATGAATAGGGGGCATGTGATTTATTCAGCAAATGAGTCCATCTTGTTCATCAACAACAGAAAGGGTGTGAAAAAATGATTAACGCTAATTAAAGAGCTTTATGTGCGTTCACGCAAACCATAGGTTTTTGGGCATTTTAATTTAATGTTTTTTAGAAGCCAGTTGAGAACCACTGTTTTAAATTATATTCATGTTAGCAATTCATTTTTATGACTCTGGGCCAAGAAAACCTAGCCTAAATATATGCACAGCAATGTTTTGAGAGCATTCACTGGCATTATTTCAAAAAATGAGCTGAGATCTGAACATTGTGCAACAGTGAAGATAAAGTTCCCTACGTTTCCAGACAAGTTGCTCTCTGCCTGAACATGTTGACCATTTTTGTTCAGAACGGCCCTGTTTTTATTATGAGGTAGTTTTCATCAGCTTATCTTTTTTTAGTTCTGTGCATTTATTACTAGCACTTTCGAAGTTTGTCATTTATTCAGCAGAATCTTCCAGCTGTTTTATGCTGGTTGATAAGCGTAACTGCAAAATCCCAAACACAACCTATGCTGATCTTTTCAAAATCTTTTATTTCCCCCTTCAGGAAGATGGATTTGTTGGTGGGAGCTCCTCTGTTCATGGACCGTGGCTCAGATGGGAAGCTGAGGGAGGTGGGTCAGGTCTATGTCTACCTAGGCAAAGGTGGCTTCACTTTCAACAATGTCATCAAACTCACTGGTTCTGAGATCTATGCTCGATATGGAAGCTCCATCTGCAGCCTGGGAGACCTCAACATGGATGGATATAATGGTACTATTTTGTCTTTCTTCTACATATTTTCCCGGTTTTCTGTGCTGTTCTTTCAGGACCCAACCTAGCTTGCAACACTGACGAACATACAGTACATATTTAGTCATTTGTGGTCATGGTCTGATGCTGTTGTCACTGTCTTCCTTGCCTCATTGTGCAACAGTAATCATGACTTATGAGCTTTTTGTGCAAAGGCTGTACAAGCAGATAAAAACAGTACTGCCCATGGCAGTTACTCAATAACCACGACTTAAAATGGTTTTATTTTTAATCCCTTTGTTTTTTCTCAGATGTGGCCATTGCTGCCCCATATGGTGGGCAGTTCCACCGTGGCCTGGTGTACATTCATAACGGGCGTCCCACAGGGCCCAATCCTGTGGCCTCTCAAGTTCTGGAAGGAACATGGGCGTCTGCTTCCATGCCTTCTAGCTTTGGTTATGCCATGAATGGAGGCACAGATGTTGATCAGAATGGATACCCTGGTTAGATTTCAACAATCAGTCTTGTTTTACACATTCACATCTTTTGCAATTAACCGATTACAGTCACTTAAATTCAAAGCTACTTCCTCTTGTCTTACTCTTCTATGGTCACTCATTCTTTTTCTCTCACACTCTCTCCTCTTATAGACCTGATTGTTGGGGTGTTTGGCGCTGACAAAGCTGTTCTGTACAGGTACAGAATGCTTATGCTTCACTTTGAACTCACACATGCGTTTGATTGACTTTTATGATCAGGGCCGGATAAGCTATTAAAGGTGGTCTCATTTAATTCAGCAGTATTTAATTTGCTTTATGTGCAAGTAGCAAAAGCAGTTACAGGCTGTATAAAAAGAAAATCACAGTGAAACATTTGTCATCATCTATTTTTGTACATTAAAGACCACCGGGCTTAGATTTCCATTGTATTACACATACTGTGTAAGCCAAAATGTACAGTCAGCTCATCATTATTGCACAATAAGCTCTGAGTGTTAAAAAACAGTGATCAAAAGTTTAGTCATACAGTGTGAAAAACTCCCTTCCCAGTCCATCTAGACCAGTGTTTCTCAACCCTGGTCCTGGGCGCCCCCCAGCACTGCGCATTTTGTGTGTCTCCCTAATCAAACACACCTGATTCAACTCATTAGCTCATTAAAAGAAACTCCAGGACCTGAAATGGGTGTCAGATAAGGGAGACATACAAAATGTGCAGTGTTGGGGGTCGCTCAGGACCAGGGTTGAGAAACACTGATCTATACCATTAATGGATACTAAGCTGCAAAAATAGGTGATTCTGAATCCCACACAGTATTGTTGTCACAAACATGAACATAGTAATATTACCACCCACATATTAATATCAGTGCTTTTTTAGTATTCTACAGCTCTGATTGGGTACTTATTAATGGATCTGTGAATTAGGCATATGCAATGAGGATAATCAATCATAACAGAGGCCATTTACATAAAGAAGTCCCAAAGGTACAACAGCAAAAATAGCCTGTTAAATTCTAAGGGTCAGGGAGTCAAAAACTACACTAAAATAATCATATAAAACTAAATTAGTGTTTTCATGATTTGTCTGTGATTGTTTACCATCTTACAGTATAAGGAACCTGTCTGAATTGGTAGACTGATGATACCTGCTTGTGTTGTGTAATTAGGGCTCGTCCGGTCATCAGCGTGAACACCACACTGGATATCAGCCCACAGATCCTAAACCCTGAAGACAAGAGCTGCACCCTGCCTGGTACAACCACCACAGTTTCCTGGTGAGTCGAGGTTTTTTCATCAGTTTCAACCAAACATACATGATGCAATTTGTTTCATGTAATGATGGAAATGTAATTGCCAAATAAGTAATGCATTCAAATCATTGCAATAATCATTTTGTTGCCTCTTATATCACCAGTAAAATCATATCAAATATATTGTGAATATCCCTAATATATCACTAAGCTCGACTTTTATTTCTCTTTTTCTTTTTTGAGGTTCGTTATTCTTTGTAACATTCTGCTTCTGTTAAAACCACAGTTGTTTGTGCAAGAATACATTAACAGAAGCATCGGTCTTGCATGAATATGCTCCTGTTTAGAAACATCTATTTAAAGAACTGATTTCTTAAAGGGGTCATGACATGGATTTTTTAAAAATTATTTTAATATGTTCCTTGAGGTTTACTTTGTTAGTTAGTTAGTTTTGTTTAGTTTTTTGCACAATAAATAAATATAAATGTGTGGAAAAAATATTATTTTCAACCCTAATTCTGACCCTCTGTCTAAGGCCCTGTCCACACGAACGCGGGCATTTTCGAAACCGCAGCTTTTTCTATGCGGTTTGGCCGTTCGTCCACACGCAAACGCAGCACCAGGTCACTGAAACCGAACATTTTTGAAAACTCCTGCCAGGGTGAAGATTTTCAAAAACGAAAGCGGAGATTTTGGCTTTTGACGTCGGAGCATGCGCTGTTATCTCCGCCTACTGGAAACTTTTTCAGGCTTCTGATTGGCCAACATGGCTTTACGGTTGAGATTATATTGCCACTTGTTGGCTTGGCATGCTCTTGACAGTGCTTCATAGCATGCTATTGCGTTTTTCATGTGGATGGAGATTTTTTTTTAAACGGAACCCGTGTACGTGTGGACTAGGGATGTGCGCGACGACTAATTTGACTGACGTTTAAACGAAAGTTTTGTATCCGACTAGTCTAAAAGCAAGAAACCCCCAAAAGATGGTAAGAAAAAAAAAACCTCTGTGCGTGCGTGTAGCATAGCCTATATTTGAAATACTTACGCTTGCCGCACACTTGCCTCGCGTTATCATCATTTCATTTTAGGCGGTCGTTAAAAAGAAAAAAAAAGAAGAGTATACACTCAATGTTGGCCAAATCATAGCTTATTTATTCAAATCAGCTGGGGAAATGCAGAACGATGGAAAATCAATCAATAGCCTGACAGAATTCTTAATCTTCAAATCACGTTAGCCAACATATTAAAACACAAGTCGAAACAATAGGAATGTTTATCAAGAAATAGCATTAAAACGGCTTTTAAAAACGTACTTCGTGTAGGCTATATCGTCTAAAAACAAAATGCAACAATGCCCATTTTACTTACTCAGACCATGCGTTATTTGTTCAGTGAAATTATCAACGTGGTCTGGTGAAAGACGGGACCTGAGGCGATTAACAAAATTCCTGCACTTGAAAAAACGCCCTCGGCAGGAACTGAAGTCGCAGGCAACGCAGAGATAACGAAAAGCAAGCCGACAG